GGTAAGCACCCCAGCTTAACGCACCGAGTTCTTGGCAGGCCAAGAAGCTAACTTGATTTAAGCAAGCCAAGAACGCCAAAAAGTAGCTCAAGATAGATTCCAAGTTGACACCCTAGAAATTCCTTATTATTAAAAAAATTAGGGTTGGTAAGGTCTTACTTTGTCAGTCCTCTTCCTGCCTCTTGGAAATATTCTCAGCTCCCCTTGTCACACATTTGCAAATGTTTCAGTCAGCCAAGTTTTACGTGGCGGGTGAAAAAGTTCTGCCTCAGTAATTTCTTTAGGGGCTCAGTTTCAGACTACGTTAATTCAAGCCCCCTTCTCTGACTTTTTCTTGCCAAGCCTTTTCTCTCCTCTTCTACAAGCATTTGTTGAACAAAAAAGAAAATAATTTGCAAATGTAAGAAACCTTTCTTCCCCAGGAGAAGAAAGAAGGAAAAAAAAAACCCCAAACCACAGAGAACTTTGCAAAGGAAAATCAGATTTTCTCTAGAGGAGATACCTCCAGACCTCACTTTTTGCTGCCCCAAATCCCTAAATTAACTCAACACTGATAAATTTACAGTGAAAACATACCTTCTTTTAAAGGAAATGGGCAGTTTTGTTCCCTGAAGTTAAAGTTACATTACGGTTAGGTTGAATTATTGCTGCTTGGCTGGCTCTTGGCTTCTATCACACGTATGAAGGGTTTGCTTTTCTACCTATTCCCTTTCACCTCAGCCACGACCTCCTTGGCTGTGGTTTATCTGCACACACATCAAACAAGGCAGACTTGGACGACAGCTTCACTCTGCCGCTTGCTGCTTTTTTTTTTTTTTTTCTTTTTCAATCTGGAGAGAGTATTTCTGCCTTTATGCTGTCCTCTGCCACGTGCAAACTTTCCAGCCGTACTGCTGCAGTTTGGATGCTGGTGGAGCAGTTGTGACAGAAGGCAAGAGGACTGAGCGCGGAGATGCTGTTCTGGACGGGCAGGCAGGCGGCTCAAGCGTCCCTCCATTTAGCCCTTCAGATGGCCGATGCTCTGCGCACGTCTAGTGTCATCTCGCCTTGATGAAACAACCTTACGTTAGGGATAGCTGTCCTCGGGACCGAGCCTGGGGGGACTTAACTGCACCCAGGTGGCATTTATCAAACTTTTCAAAAAGGTGCAACCTCTTTTGGACTCCTGCGCCTTTGTGCAGCCCTGCGAGGTGGCACCAGCCCAGCTTCGGGCAGGCCAGGGCCGGTAGCACTGAGCAACCTGCACCCCCTCCTGCGGAAGGTCCTGAGCTGCTGCCAAGCCCTGGGGGTAATTCCCGCATCCCCTCCTCGCTGTAAAGCCCTGCGGTCCGTAGTTACAGCCGCCTCTGACCCCCTCACCCTCCAGGAGCTGGCTAGCTGGCTAGCTCTCCCTTTCCATCTTCCCATCCATTTTGTTTCCGTGTCTGGGTCCTTTCACAGTGCTGGTTTAGGTATCTCCCTCTTAAGGGGATGAACTCCTCAGAGTCCAACTGTCCTGGATGACTTTGGTTTGGTTCCTCCCTCGTTTTGTCGCCCATCGTGTCCAGCCCGGGAAAGCGAGCAGGGCGAGTGATTTGTTGGCAGTAGCACGGCTGATCCCGAGTGCGGAGCAATGTCTGTCCCTTCCCTGTGTATCACCTCACCTGTTCCAAATGCGTATCACCGAAAGATGGTTTATCCTACATTGGTCCATCTTGTATTCAGATATCCAAGAAAGGGCAATTTGTCTTTTATCCCCACATTTCTAGTTATCTCCAACTTTAAGCCGTATACCTGCTTATACAGAATGTGGTCTTGGCTGTTTAGCATTTCTAGGTATAATTAATTTCTTTTAGAGAGGGAAATTGCCTTTGCACCGTACTCAGATCAATCCAAGCCACATTTGAGGGCTTCGCTTTCGTATCTCCTGCAGCTGGTGTGTGCCTGCAGAAAGGCGATATCGGTGCTTTATTAATTGCCTGTAGAAAGGCAATCAGCTACGCCTCCGACACAAGAGGCCAGTTAGTTTGGAGGGAGAGCAAAGGAAAGCATTCCTGGGAGAAAGGCAGGCGGGATGGTTACCTTCTCCTCACTTACCCTTTCCATGGCTAGTAACACGCTCTGCTTAAGAGCAAATTAAGTCTCCCGACTTCTGCCAGGCTGTAATCTCTGGCTGACGGTGGAGTTTGAGGGTCAAGCAACATTTGCCTTTCTTGTGTACCAAAATAAATAGCTGAATGGGCCAAACCAGTTGGGGTAGGGTAACGAAGGTAAATTTTGTTTCTGCATTAGGAATTCACGCAGTTCTCTCTTGAAATGATGAAGGGGAAATACTGTTTGGTTTAATCTCTCCTAAAGCTCTGCTAAGACTCCGGTAGAACTGGAAGGAACAAAAAGCTACTAGTAAATTCATGGCACTGAATTAATAAAATAATTAATAAAATTTGTGTTTAGAGTGAGCAATTTCTTATTATCCCCGGTCAAGCTATCTTGCACTGGCACTTTTCACTGCGTAGCTAAGCACCTAAAAATATACACAGTGACTTCTCAGAATAGAACTGTGCTTTAATAGTCTGGAAAAAAGGATTGATTTATGGGAAAAGGTGACAAGAGCCACATACTTCTTGTTTAGCCGTTAAGTGGAGAGCTTTGAGAGGTGCCAGCACACACCAGAAAGCTGTAAACACCAGGGGAGAAGACACATAATTTCTCTTGAGTTAAGAAGATGTAACCAGAAGTCAGGAGGCAAAGGAGAGATCAAGTATGCTATAAAATAGTATCCTATGGGGTGTGGTGAAACCCCATCTCTCGAGACACTTGCAACTCGCCGGGGCCGAGCCTTGCTTGGGACGGCTCCTTCTGCTCGCAGGACCGGGACCGAGTCCAGCCCCTGGTACCCAGGGGATTTCTGGGGGACTCGGGCCACCGCTCCATGAGGCTTTAACGAGAGCCCCCAGCGAGACCTTTGCCTTCGCCACCCTCAAACAGCCACCGCTTCGGTTTTGTACCTGCTCTGGGCATCAGCACCTCTGCCCCTTAACTCTGTACTCTTTCCTCCCACCGCAGCCGCCCCAGCAACTGCTTTTTTAGGCTAACACATACCCCGGCCAAGGATGGGAGTTGGTTTTTCTTTCTTGAAATTTTAGGAAAAAAAAGAAAAAAGGCTTCCTGACTACTCTGGCACTGGAAACAGTTGACAAATACTGAGGTGTCTCTTTGAAAATACCTCTCTCGGTTCAGAGCCTTCCCGAGCGCTTTCTGAAGTTGCAGTTACCTTTTCTCTCTCCTCTGCATCGTAGTTGTCCGGAAAGACAGGTTTATTCTGATTTTCCTCATTGATTTCTCTCTCCTCCAAATAAAACTGCCACTTGGCTTCGAAGTAAAACCAGTGCTCCTGATATTCTGAATGCAAAAGAAATTAATGATGTAGCATTTTGTGTCAGCAACATTTTCAGTTCTACTTTACTGCATTAAAGGAAATGACAGTATTGACTGACCCAAAACCCAAGGTATTTTACAGTAACGTACGGTAAGCAGGCATATGTACGAAGTATGCATTTTAACATGGAGTGGGACACCTAACTGAGAACAGAAGATGTGAATGAAGAAAATATTTTCAAAATCTTGTGCTGTTTTTATGGTATATTAAAATTACATTAAGACACATCAAGATTTTTTAGAGAACTTACAAAGGAACACTCCACACAAAAGAGTCAGCAAAAAGAGAGAAAAATCAATTCTGTGTCCATTTTTGTATTCCTTTACTATGACTAGAGAATATCTAAAAATGGTTACATATCTGTCCTGGTTTCGGACTGGCTGAACCACGGCAACGTCCTAAATACAGATTGCCTCCTACCTCAGTTACCAGCTTTTAGTCACACAATTTCTCCAGTATTTCTCTTTTGTTTTCACAGTATTTCTGTGTGATCTTTCAGGAAAAGGTAGAGTGGAAAGGCCAAAATTTCCATTTACATATATATTACAATATGTAGTAAAAGGGATAAATAACACACACATCTGCTATCTGTGCCCATAGAAATATTTTTTTATTATTGCTTACTAATTTTTATTTCAATTTAATTTCTTATTTCTAATTAATAATTTGAGCCTTTTTAACAACTATAGGTCTTTCTCCTTTTCCTGTCGCTTTAGGAAGAGCATCTCTAGTCACGCTTAACATGATGCATGTAAATAATCTCATTAAGTTCAGTTTATTTTCAAGGCAATGCTCTGGTTCAACCTTTTTGGAAAGGCTTAAAAAGGCACGTCAAGTCACGCTGAGCTGAGAAGCAGATACACATGCACCCGTCTGCAGAACGGAGGCCTGGGTGAAACCCTGCCGGGGAAGCCGATGGGGTAAGGAATCCGAAATCGGTGAGATGGGCCAGACGGTGAAGTATGCCAAGGCAAACGAGCAGCTCAGTGTGGGACTACTGGTGTACAGTTTAAAATAAAATCGAGCATAGCGACTTCTTCCCCGGCTCTGTCCTGCTTGGTCACCCAGTTGGATGCTGCACGTGGCGGAGGAGCACGCACACAGCCGAACCGTTTCTCTGAAGGATGTCATCTGATTTTGCTTCTTTTCCTAAAACGCCATACGGGTGACCCTCTTTGGCGACTAAGATCTTTCAAGCAGTTCAACTCCATGTAAAAAAATGCAGGCTGCCTCGTAGGACCCGACACTTCCACAAGGTTGCCGGTTCCTCAGCCCCAGAGAGGGATGAGCCCTCGGCCACCAGCCCTGTACCCCCGGGGATGCCCAGCTGCCCTTTTTGCAAGTCCGTGCCCCAGTTTTGCCTGATTACAAGGAAGCCATTCACTAGAACCCTAAAAAAAGGGGGAGTGTTTAGAAAAACAGAGTGAAAGTGCACTCACAACCTTCATGCCAAGGAGAGCATCTTGAGGGGAAAAAAAAAGTCACACAAAGAAAATGTTGTTGGTTGAAGTAAACTACTGACACCCGCTCCAGCAGCTGGCTGCAAGACTGCGTTTAGAAATGCAGGTAACCTGACAGGTTTCTTTTTTTGTGGGTTTTTTTTTCCTGTTTCCCCCCCTAAACCAAGAATGCCTCCAACATGAATGCTTTCTGTGCAGCACCTCAACAAGCAAGGGTGGGATTATTCCAACGGACAGCCTCAGAAACAAAGGGATCAAGCAGTTGCAGGAGATTTTGGTTGTGTGGATGACCCATAGTATGGTCAGTAATCCCACATCACCAGCCCTAACGAGGCTCTGCCCCATCCCTCGAGCCCAGTCTGAGCTGACGGTCGCATTCAGGTCCAAGGGACTACCTGGCAAGTGATTGTAACTGAATATCAGAGAAGGATGCCGAGTCGAGCCCTCTGCCACTGAACATTGTGTTTGTTATCCAGGGGGAATAACGCGGCTAAAAAAGTTTTCTAAAACTGGAGGACTCTGGCAGGATTTCTTTGTAGTGCATCTCACCAGCCAAGGAGCTTAACTTTAATGTAGGAGACTTTTCCCGCTACCAAAATAGGACGAAGCTCAACAATATGGGCGCTAGCTGGAGAGCGTGCCTCAGGAGCCCGACACGCATACCTCCACGTCGAGGGGTCCTGCCCGGGTGGAGTGACAGGGACCTGCTGCTAAACCGCTCCGAGAGGAGCTCGCTCACACTAATCCTGCACCTGCTCCTCATAGGTCTCGGCTAAAAAAATCCTGGTGTGCTGTGAGGCGCAGACGAAAATGTGGGGTCTGTCAGAAAGGCTCCCCGGTGCTCCGTTCAGGTTTTAAAGCAGCAGCTTTCCTTCCTGGGTAAATCTGCATTTCTGAGTGCTCCTGAGTAAAGATTTCCATTGAATTCAATCCTTCTCAACAGCCATCCCCTGAGATTCAGAGGAAAACCCCTTTCCTCGATGTTTTAATGTAATGATACTCATCTGGCCACGGCAGGTCTCACCGTTGCAAATGCATCGCTCCCTGGCAAGAGGGGACTGAACTACCTTTGCCCTGAAGATCACACACATTAGTAACGTAGCAGTATCCAGTTCAGCAGCTGTGTAATGTTCAGTTGTTTTAAAACAAGGATACCACTAGTTGTATCTTAAATATTTGTCCAGAAGAGCAACAAGTCAAATCTGAATTTGTGGTCAAAAGCTAACTCCTGGTCAGGAGGCATCTGCTGGTGAATTTTTCCTGGCAAAATGAGGAATGTCAGTGGGTTTTCTTATAGAAAACATTGGACTGTGCTAATTAACGGAAGGGAGCTGAATAATTCATATCTCAGCAGTCAGTTTGCCTAATAACCTGCAAAATATGATTTCCTCCCTCCTCCCTGCCCAGCAGTCTTTGAAGACTACCTGCAAATGAAACCGCGCAGTAGGGCATTATCATTGCTATTTCTCTTCCTATTTTTGCCACCAGTACACCAGGCAACCACCGGCCGGTAGACGAAGGCGGCATCGCCTGCGAAGAGCGCTCAGCCTGAGCAGGGAGGGCGGGAGGGCAGCCTGCGGGGAGGGGAGAGGGGGGAGAGCAGCAAAAGGGAGAGGACAGGGACTGACATTTCTTCAGTGTCTTTCTAGCTGAGCACAGTTTTAAGAAAATAACTCTTTTGATTCAGACACATTACCTGCCATGTGGCGAATGGTCTTCTTGCAGTATTCTTCAGCCATCGGCACAACCTTCATCATCTCTCTCCCCCACTGCACCAGGGGTTTCCCTTGTATCGCGTACGCCACAAAGAGAGCCGTGCATAGGGACCCTAGAAAACCTGGAATTTGTAGATAACGATGATTACCAATGTGCGGTCTGAGGTTGTACCATCCTTGTCACGTCCCTCATAAAATCATTAGTTGAATGCCTCCTGGCTGTCGGGTGGATTAACGAACGCACATAACCTATCTCCGCCTGTTTGCAGGCTGGCTCGTGGCCTGGTGCGATTCTTGGCTAATGCGTGGTGCCCGTCGGTTTACGGCTTATTTTACATAGAAGGGAGCTTCTGTTCTCAGTGGTGTAACATGACTGAAAGTGAGGTAGGGTCAAAAATAAACACCATCCACTAACGCGATACTGAAAATCTTCTAATTGAAGTCACATGAAATAACTGACTTGCGCAAGGTGATTCAATTACAAGCTGTATCACCTTGCTTATAGAGTCACCCAGCCCGAGGGCTGTGGTTGTTAAATCTAACACTATTTCTGGCTCATTTTACTCTAAGGGCACAAGTCCATGGCTTACTTGGACAATTGCAGTTGTCCAAGTAAGATATGCTGTCTACCTGCCTAGCTAGGTCTTCCACTTTGGATACAAATATACTTGAGATGAACTTTCTGTCGATGGGCGCTCAGCACTTCCATGGCATCAGAAACAGAGGGGCTCGTTTCTCGTATTTGCTTGCGCCCTTGGCGTTCTGTCAAAGGCAACAAAACCAACGCAATGCAATGTGCAAAAGAAGGTTAAGAGAAGAGTTCAGTCATTTAAATAAGCCCCAGGTGAGCAAAGTATTGATGCGTGTGCTTCTCTCAGTGCATGGGTCCGAAAGCATTCGCTTAGTCTTAGAGGTGGGCATGAACTTCATGTGTTTTGCTGAAGGTAAACCCAAGTTATTTTAGGAGGTTACAAGTCCAGATGAGACAATTACTAATTCTCTCTGCCATAAGACCTGCAATACTGGGTCAGGCCCAAGGCACGTCTAACCCAGCGTCCAACAGGTGCTTTCATAAAGAATAAAAACTCAGGTGGAGCCAGCTCAGAGGGTCTCACTGGGACAGACACCTCCAACCCAACTGCCGTAGAGATCCTCGGGTGCCCCGTTCAGCGTGAGGGTGACGGCAGAGGGTTTAGAGGATGAAGCGAAGGGTGAGCAGGGAGCAGCGGGACAAGGCAGTGCAGGGGGTGATGGAGGTTGGGGTGTGCCCAGAAGGTTTTCGGGGGGCTGGCAGTCTTTTCCTGCCCCATCTCCTGCTGCTATTGCCCTCCTTCCCCCACTCACGGCAGCCCTCACACAGCCTGCCGCCCCGCACCAGGGAAGAAAGCAAGACCCAGCCTGGGTTTTCTGGCCCTGCAAATAATGCCAGTATGGAGTCAGCCTAATTGGTTTGGCCTCTCCACTCCCCAGAGCTTCTAGACTAGCTTAGGGGCAATTTTAATTACACGCCTTGATAGCTTTTAACAGAAGCAGCCGCTCTCGTCTGCTTGCCTGAGCCCCTTCGAACCGAAGCCTATCTGTCGGCTTTGCAGCTGCCCGTAACAGCGAGGTCCGTGGCTTAACCACGCACGACACGGCGAAGGCTTTCCTTTCGCTGTTTCTTTCAGTCCTGACTGACGTGTCAGTTGGGTTTTCTCAGTCTTTGAGCTATGAGAAGCACAGCTGACGTTTCTCTGGCACCTTCTAGGACAGTGGCGAGGTCCATGGCGGTCCTTCCACCCCTCTCCTTCCCACCGTGCCACTTGTCTCTTTTCCCAGCTGAAAATTCCTTCTGGATGTAATTTCTCCTTCTATGGAAGGTGTTTGGCAACTTTGATGCTCCTTGCTGCCATTTTCGGGCCCTAGTAAGTCCTTTCTGAGGTGGGAGACCCAGTCCGCAAGCAGTCTTACTGCTGCTGATGCACCGTGGACTCTATATATTGCCTTAATGATACTTTTTGGTTTACTTTGCTTTGGATTCTTTTCCTCTAATTTTATACCATCCTGATGGCTTTTCTGACTGCTTCAGAGCACTGAGTGTGTTGGACATGTCACCATTCATTATGGTTTCATTTATTGCTGTTTAAAGCAGACAGAATGAATACACGCTTACATAGCATAAAATTATCGGAATGACAGACCTGAATATTCAGAACAACGTTAGACCTGCTTATTTATGTTTTGTTTAAAGAATGTTTCAGATTATGTCCTAAAATATATGGAGTTAGATTTTTTTTTTGCTTTCTACCTTTAAAAAAATTGGATATGACAAAACCTGTCAAGAGAAAAATGTTATTATCCCCTGAACCATAAACTTGCACGATAACGGTGAGTCATCTAGATGTACATGACTCCTAAAATTTGATGAGGGCAAGTGACATGAATATGCTTTGGCCAAGACAGGTTGTGTTTGGTTATCGGGATTTTAGGAGGGAAAACTCCTACGCCTGAAGTTGCTGACTGCACAATATACAAGCAAATATATAAGCATATATAAGTAATAGATACATGTATATGTTATCCAAGCAAAATTCAAACCAAGGCCTTGAAGTCTGCAAAGCAGAAGCAGTTTAACCAGGTGAATTCGCAGGAGCCGCATGAGAATCATTACAGTTGGAAGAGACCTCAAAGATCATTAAGTCCAACTGTCAGTCCCCGCAGAAGCGAAAAGCAGCCTCGGAGAGGTCAACGCGGCTCCGTCAGCGGCCGTTACCTGTGGGATGGTTGTGGGTCATTCGCCCGCACTCGATGCTCACTTCTATAAGGGACTCCAGCCTTTCCGGCTTCCAGTACCGCATCCCTAAACACATGGCTTTGGTGGATGCTCCAAATCCAGAACCTAAAGGAAAAAGACAATGCCAAGCGTTTAAAAGGAAACTGATGATACACAAATGTGTGGATAAAATGTGAAACAAGCACATTTTATTAATTCAACTCATGTGTGGGAACTCCTCAGGGAAAGGGAAATCAGGGTGCAAAAAAGGAGTTACAAGTTTTGAAAGTTTCTTGTGCGGAGTTTTGTTTCTACGCAGTCGTTTGGTTTTACAGATATATTCCAACATTCTCAAGTGCTTCGAAGCGCACAGCGGGCTCAGAAAGCAGTGTGCTCTCTTGGTCACGGCACTGGTTTGATGCAAACTCTCAGGCCATCGTTATCATTCTTGGCTGACACCGCTGTTTTGCTTGTTCCAGGTGCCAGCACTGGAAACAGAAGTTTGAGAAACAGATGCATTCTTACTATGACCTTATTTTAGCAGTCTTCATGCTGGAAGCACACAATTAAAGCACTTTAGATGAGGATCACAGTTGATCTTACAATTGTAATGCACGTTTCATCCTAGAGAGCCCGACAGGTAGTTCACAAAATAGTTTCTGCTGCATACAAAAATAACGTGTCCAAAAAGAAACTAAAGGCTCCGGAGCCAAACCCCCCAAAGTGAGGCACCGTCAGAACGGAGGTTTCCCGTGCGACCCTTGGGGCTTGCGTGCACACTCGTGGTGCCGCAGCCTGCCCTTACTGAGCTTCGTCTTGGGAAGTCCTGCCTCCTGCAGCACGGCATTTATTTATTAAATAGCTGATTCAGAATTTCTTTTAATCCTCAGCACTGAATGCGTGATCCCAGGTTCAACACTTCATCCAGTTCAACACTTCATTGAATGGAGAGTCGAATTTACTACTGAGTTTCTTTGCAGGACTTATCACAGTAATATCGGCATCCCACAGAAGTTTTAATGAGATCCCAGGTGTTCAACTTTGTTCAAGTTGAACACATCATCCAGTTCAACACTTCATTGAATGGAGAGTCGAATTTACTACTGAGTTTCTTTGCAGGACTTATCACAGTAATATCGGCATCCCACAGAAGTTTTAATGAGCTTGTCTTCAGAAGGCACCAGTGAGGTGATTATCTCCTCTTTGCCACTGGTGAGCCAATGCCCAGAAAAGCATTAACTCATTGCAGGCACCCACCCTGAGATGGGTACGGTTCGATTTTTCAAAGTACTTGGCATTTTTCAGCACTGTCTTTGCTCAATCACACTTCCCGGTGACCTTGGGTGTAGCCGAGAGCAATCGGCATTTCTCTACTTGGTCCCTGGAAGATAAGGGACACATTTATGGCACCTAATTTTAACCTCTGTGGAACCTGCATTAGGAGCACAGTCTCCCAGTCGTTCCTAGACCGGCAGCGTGGAGAAAGGCTCCACCTCCATCAGCCGGTGTGACGGCAGAGTTGGAGCAATTCATGGGCCGGAGTGAGTTGAAGCAGCAGATGCCAAGGAGCCAAGGTCAGGGCTTTTAGTCCCCTGTCTCGGGAAGAGCCCTCGGGGGCTCCCCTGGGCCGTGCCAGCGGCGGGTGCAGAGCTCTCTTGGAGCACTGCTTGCTGTTTAGTGTCAGCCCAAGCAGCTCCAGCTCAGGTGTCCTCAGATCACGAGAGTGATCGAAGTGTGGTCACGGGGTCGGCAGGAAGATTGGCTTCAAGCCAAACTGGACCCTGAGCCAAATTCACGCGAGGCACCCACTGGCACCTCCAGGTGTGATGCAGACCGACTAGGATCTGAACTTCTCTCTTCTCCCCAGAGAGCTGCTAACCCCGAGTGAGCACCTTGGTTAGGTGATCTAACCAGGTTAGCTGAAGACATTTCTTCCCTTCCTCCTCAGAGTTTAACATGCAAAAAAGGCCAAACACTTGATAAATGTGACATGAAAGGCTTCGCAAAATAGCATTTTATTCCCCGCAAGCTCAGAGCTTGCTTCCTCATCCCTTGCCAGCCTTCCTGATAACGGTGAAAGACCAGAACACCTTTGGCCACTGCTCCTGATGACAAGGCTGGATACTTGTTCTGCCAATGGTGTGTTTGCTCCCGTACCTCACCTCTGCTGCAGCTGCGGTGCCTGGTTATCACGGAGCCAGCAGCGGACAAAACTGTTGGCCTATCCCACAAATCATGCAGAAAACTACAAGGAAGAATCAGGAAAGAATTCCAGTCTTCCAGAGCACCACTCAGCTTAACTGGGAGAACATATCTCCTCCCGCTTGCAAGACCAAACTCTCCATGAAACCATCTGCTGCCATAGAGTAGTGGATGAGGATCTTCTTCACTATGCGGTCCTGGTTCCTCCAAAGGGCACAATCCATGCTGGTTATCCAAGAGGGAAGGCTGTTGTGCCACACGGAGTTGCTAATTAAATAACATCTTTTAGTATATCCAAAGAGGAGGATACACTACAGTAATCTGACTGCTGGTCTGAAGGACCTTGTCCTTGCAACTTCATTGTGTTCCTCCAGTCTAGGAAGCTGTATTAAAACCTTCTGCAGAATTAGACAAATAAACTTAGTAACAAAAAATTCCATCACGTGGAGTGACATTAAGTCTAGACAGGGCTTCAGGTGATCAGCAGCTGTTAGCTCCCGTGTCTCAGTGTCTACCATTTGAATCAATGAAGTAAGGGACAGCGAGACTGGTCCAAGCCCCAGGTGAGACACATGGGTAAGAACCTAAGGACTGTCCTCCATGATCAGACCAAAGGTCGACCTAATTTATCATGTCTGACAGTGGCCAATGGAGAGGATACCTAAGAAAGTAAAAGAAAAGTATGACGACGCTACTCCTTTGTATTAAGTAAGCTGCTGACCCCTTGTCTCCCTGGTCCAGGAGGCAGCTGGCTAGTCGTCTCTCTGCTTAATAACCCTTGAGGGGCTTCCCTTGGGTGAATTTGCCCAGCTCTGTTTTGAACTCACATGAACTGTAGCATCCGCAAACCGATGTCAGAAAATAGTTGGGCAGCGTAATTAAGTGTTGTGTGAAGAAGTCGTTCCTTTTGCTCTCTTTGAACTCGTGACCTATCAGTTTCATTCGAAGTTCCTAGTGCCGTGCTGGAGGAGACAGTGAGTTTTCTCCGTCCCTATTCATGTTCTCCAGGTTATCTATGACTTTACAGCTCTCTGTCATACTGTCTCAGACATCACAGCCTGTGGAAGCAGTTTTTTACTAATCCAATCATCCTTCCTCTTTTCTAGTTCTTTCACATCCTTTTGGGGGGAGGGAGGGACCAGATCATGTACAGTAACCAAGAAACAGCAGCTGTGGATTTATACAGTGGTGCAAACATGTTTTACGTTTTGTGGTCTGTTCCTTGCCATCATTTCAAATAGTCTATTCACTTTCTGGCTCTTACTGAGCACTGAAGCGATGTTCTTGTAGAGCTGCTATAGCTCCACGATCCCTTCCCTGAACGGTAACTGAGTCAACAACCACAGCTATGTCTATAAAATTGGGTTTCCTCCCCACACAGGACTTTTCCCTCATCTGCGCTGCGTTTGGTTCTGTTACTCTGCCACGCAGATGTTCACCATTGTGAGCATCTTCCGCAGCCCTGCGTCGTGTTATCTTTGACAATGCTGACCCACCACCATGCACTTGAATTTCCAGATAGTTTGTTGGACAACGTGTTGGACAGCAGAGGTCCAACACAGGTGCCTCCTTCTCTGTGGAGAAGACAGACTGCCATCTCCTGCTCTTCATTTACTGGCTTTTACCCAGTTGTCTATCCTCAGGAGAACCTTTCCACCATCCTGTAGCAACTTTGTGCCTCATCACTTAGTGCCTTTGGTGAGGGACCTTGTTGAGAGTCTTGGAAACCCTAACAGCCCATCTTCACGGGGTCTCTTTTTTCCTCCTGTTTCTTGGCTACTTCATGAGCTTTCTAATAGAATTCTGACTTCTTGTCACAAAAGCTGTGTTGACACTTTCTTATTACATCATTTTCATTCATGCGCTATGTTATTGTCTTTTATCACATAATACCTCAGTGTGCTTTTCTTCACTCTACACCTGTAGAATAACAAAGATCGGCTTAAAGGACGCTAAGCCCTCAAGAGGATGTGTCTTTTGTGACTACAGACCATTCTGCATGAGAACCCAGAGCCTGGCACTTTTATCTCCTGTCCATCTGAGCCTTATCCTTCTCTCCATTTTTATTCCCCAACTTTCTGCGTTTAACTCACACTTTTTCCTCATGCTCCTATACCAATGCCACCAGCGAAAAGGCACTGCTCTCAAGCGCTAGGAAGCCCAGCAGCTGCTTCGGGAGCTGCAAGTAAAGACCTGCTTGGATGCTGCAGCCTCAGCCTGCGATACAGGCGATACAGGTAGGGCCAAGCTGCTGTTCAACCGGCCTTTGGCAGTGGCTCTGATGGCACGTCTCTGGCTCAAGGGCCACCACCCTATTCCGATTTCGGTTTCAGCTCTCAAAGATCAACAGTTCTCTTCTGAAAAAGTTGAGAGTTTGGCAATGGAACAAAACATTTTTACCATGTTTCAGAAACAGCAGGCTCATCTGCATCAAAACGTTAAACAAATGCTGACAGACAAACGGAGGCAAACACTCAACTGTGAAAATTTTAGCCTTGAGCTTATCAACGTCATAAATTGGAAAGAAACTCTTAAGACAGAAGGTGTTGGACAGCCTTGGGCAGGTCTTCTGGCAGTCACAGGAATCTCGCCAGCTTTTAACATAATCTGGGTACCTCTGCCATGAGTGTGACAATGAGCGTGCCGCGAGGTAGCGAAGAGATGCACAGGGCAGTTTGACTTCAGAACTCGGTGTGCTGACTACACCCACAAGAATTTGAGCAGAGGAGCATCATACAAGCAATGCAAAATTACCTAAGCTAAGATTTCACTGGCCCATGAAGGCTAGCAGGTGAACTCTTGCTAGAAGTGAGACAAGATGCAATGACCGCAGGAAAACAGCATTTTGGTTCCAGCCCATCCAAGATATCATTCGACTGCTAGGCATCCAGTGCCTGTGGAATGTTTTTGCCTCAAAAATAAATTTGTGAAAATTCAATTAACAAGTTAATGGTGTCCATAGCAGTGTCAGGTCCCACGGCAGGCTGAGCATTTCCACCTCAGGTCACTGTTTCTTTTGCTTTCAGGGTGAAAAAAAGGCTTCTTGAGATGTTCGGGGTGATATTTGTCAGACCAAGTGGAGAAGGTGGGCTTTAGCTGTCAGGTCTCAAAGCAGAAATTAATTTTAGATCCTCCTAGCCCAGAGTATCCCAAAAGCAAATGGTTTGCCATGGACAGCTGGGGAGGAGGAAGGCTAAAAGAAGAGATGTAGCTCCAACGCAGCAACAGACCTGGGAACAGCCATGCTCCGCTGCCGGAGGTGGTGAGAGGTGCCCAGGGCCAGCAGCAGCTCCCACAATTATTTTGACCAGATTTTACTCACTGTCAATCAGCTAACGTCTGACAACTGCCAAAGGGGCCCTTGCCCATAGCAGGGTGGGCAGAATACACGGGGAGGGGATCCTTTTCCCTCCCGGCAGCTGTTGTGAGGAGCAGGGACTGAGCGAGGGCTGCTTTTTGTATCAGAGAAAACTGACTGCGGAGAACCAGACATAGGCATGGCATTGTGCCACCGGGTCTCTGCCACGACGTTGCATCAATATGCGACGCTGTTGGGCGATGCCGACACGCGGTGCAGCGGCAGAGCATCACGCCGACACAGCGCGACGTCTGCGTGAGCTGCCATCGCCCTGTGCCTCTCTCGGTCTGCCGCCTCTGATGGTGTGGTGTCTGTACGGGCTTGCACGGTTAATCGCACTGTACGGGTATGTGCGTGCATGCAGCTGCAGGCATGTTATTTAGCTTGAAGCAGAAATTCAACTCATCATAAAATGAAATGATCATAAAGAGAGGGTCGTGGGTAGGGAAACAGGGCTAGGAATGCAAGGGCTCATCAGCAAAAGAGCCACAGTTGTTAGGGGGGCTTCCACCTGGAGAAAAGTCTCTGCTTTCCCTCCAGTGAACGCATTGGTGCTTGGAGCGATTCACAGGCTTGGCTTTTTGTTTCAGATCTGCCGCCACTGCGAAAAGATCCAAGGCTCCAAACATTTAAATGAAAAATGGCAGAAAATATTTCTTAAAATAACCATTAAACTCAAGGACAAAGGTCTGGACCCTGAGGCAGAGAGCCAAGGACAAAGTCTCTTTAAATAGATGTTAAAGAGGGAAGGGTTCGTTTACGAGAGGACATCGTGCCCTACAGAAGGAATTCCTGGCAGGTCTCTTGCCATCCTCAGACAGAGATGGGAACGTTTCAGGGGCAGCAGCCTTTGATGTCAAGGGGAAAAAGGAAACAATTCCCATACAGCCACCAACACTGAGAGCATGCATGATTCAAGCCAGGATCTATAAATGGAAAGCGGTACCGCACCCTTTTCATTGAACGGCGTGTGCCACGCGAGAAGGTAGTTGTCTGGTTTTAATTCCCGGCAGCCTTCGATGGTCGCGGGGTCTGGCCGTCTCCCCGAGAGCTTGTCGACAGCATCCACGTAGCGCTTTACCAGCTCCCGGTACAGGTCCTCCAAACACCAGTAATCTGCTCAGGGGGAAGAGGAGGTTGCTGTGTGAAGGCAGAAGAGCAAGAGAGCACTGAACACGGGCGAGCACGCTCACCACGCGTTTAAGGAATGTTCCTACTTCCACTCCCAATACGCTGAGCCGGGTTTCTGGTGCCACTGGCAACACATTTTTACACACCATGGGAGCGGGCTGGAGGGAGCACAGGCTCGTCTCTCTGTTCTCATCTTTTCCTGCCTTCCTTTCCACTTTGAATGCCTTTAATCGGAAAGATGAAGGCGTTCTGTTCGGCGGCAGCCGCTGGCGTTAGGCTGGGCGGTGGGCAGTGCTGCAGCCGCCTCTCGTTAACCCTAAGGGGGGTGCGTGGCTGCCGGGGGTCTGGGTCCCTGCGTGAAGCCTGGCTCAGCCCCTGCCTCTGCCCATATTTGCAGACCTGAATCCAATTTAAAAATGAAAGCCTATTTTTTCACATTACCACTGAATTATTTTAAAGAGGTATGTATGATTAAACACAAAAGCAAATTAGTGACCTTATTTTTCAGTCTGTATTCTACACTTATTTTGTCTAAATTTGTAGGTCTTTCGTGCAGGGATCCCGGTATCTCATGTCGGTACAGTAACCAGAACAGGGAGGTTTTATAGAAATTACTATAAAGATCAGTGAGAGTAGTAAATCCCCACAGTCTGTAGTATTTGCAGCAGACGAATTTCTTTCTGGGATGAGTTCACTAACAACATCTGTTCACTGATTGTTTTTACCGAGGCCTGCAGTCTCGGCTAAGGGGGAACCTTCCCCCGGTAAAGACGCGCTGTTCCCTCCGTAGAGCTGCTGCTCCCGGCGTCTGTCGCGGTTCCACCGGCATCTCTTACAGCTGTGAGATCGGTGAGAGCCCAGGAGACCATCAGGATTCAACCACTTAACCTTTTCTATGTACTTAAAGAAACCCCATTTGATACTTGGTTTGACACACAGATTGAATGACACAGCAGGGGAAGTTCTTCTAAAAATATCTTCATTTTGTCAAAGACAGTGATTTCTTGAAATCCACAGAAAAGGTTTAATTTAAGAGAAAGCTGGGAAAGTACCATGGGAAAGTACCAGTTATGCAGACAGGAGAAGAAAGAAGATGCAGGGCAAAACCAAGATTCTCCTCCTTTCGCATAAAAAAATACCCTATGAGTTATGCTGGCCATCCCACGTACAATCCTAAAGGAACAAGATACTTTCAAGCTGCCAACTCTTTCTAGATTTAGGAGTCAGGTATCAGTTTATGGGGATGGGAGCCAGGAGCAGGATTTACTGCCCGGCAGCTTCTGCAGAAGCCTTGTCCCCGGAGCCAGCGTCCGTCCCCGTGGTCCAGCACCTCCGGGCTGCCCGAGCCCACCACGGCTCCCACACCTGGAACCAGGCTGCTGACTCAGTCATCGAGGCAACAGGACAGCTTCTTTCTTTAGAAATGAACCCTTATTTTTTTTAAACATGTGTTTAAGTCAGAGAGGAAAAGGCTTTTGCCGCTGCAGGGATAATTGCCCTGTTTTTGACGATGCTGTTCTCACTTCTCCCTTATGGGACAGATT